ACCTAGTTGGGGTAAGGAAACATTTGCAAAAAAACAAGGAAGCTCAGAGAGCACCAAGGATCCCTCATTTCAATGCTTATCTACAAATATTTTCCTTTATTGGTAAGTCCTATACTGGTGAGTCTACTCTGGTGAGTCCCATGAATTTTAATGGGATTGCTTGTGTCTGCTGCACAGGTGAATCGGCCCACGGCCCCGTTGCGAATAGGCCATGGCCTGGTAGTGGGCACAGCCCGTGTGTGGGGACCCCTGCATAGGATACCAACCTTTGTTCTTGGAAAATCTCTGTGTTTGCAGAATATAATCTTTGAGGCAGAGATCACAATGCGATTTACTCTTACATTTGTTTATTATGGAAGTAAATCCTCCTGAATAGCTGACTTTTAACCACCCAACTCTTTGTAGGATTGGAGTACATTTTATTTTACATCTCTCGTCTCCCCTGCTTTTAATACTGAGTTGTCTTTCAAGCAGCAGTGTAATTGCACTGTAGAAAGATGTTACAATTGATTAAACTATTATATGTTCTAAATTTTATTTTGACACTGCCTTTAAACAAGTACTGTTAATAGCTATTGCGGGGGAAGAAGATAGCAGTATTTTGCATGAGGTCAACACCTACAGATGAGCAGTTGCATTGGGGCCAGTAGGTCTGATATGATGTAGGAATGTGTCCCTGATGGAAGATGAGCAAAAGGTGTAGGAGGCTATCTTGGCAATCTACCTAGATTTGGTTGTATGTACAGTCCTGTTTGTTAACCTGTGGACCATGGAGTGTCTTGAATCCTGTCTACTGAAGAACTTCAAAGAAATTGCACTCTCTGGAGTGAGATGGTGGGTTCTCTGCAGCAAGATCTTGGATTCCAGGGAGTTGTCTGTGGGATTGAAGAAAAAGTGCCAAAATTAGGTTACTTTCTGGTACTGCTGTGCCCTATTCTGACCGAGGTTTCCCAAGAGCATGAAGCAAACTCCTTGTCCCGACAAAAAACCCTTTTATTAATTTACTGTGAATTCTGCTCATTCACATTCAGCAAAGTATTTCAAGGGAGGATTTACCATCACCGACCTTATCTGGCTTGGAGAGCTGCCAGGCCTATATCTGCAGAACTTGGCAAGGAGTCTTAGAGTCACAAACCAATTAAGGGAACTAATTTTCTCCTGCAAACTCCACTCCCCTTTCGCTCCTCTTTTATTTCCTCTGGGAGGGGCCATTAATAATTTACCTGTGGCCTTACTCCCAAGTCGACCCTTGTTCTTTAGCTGTTCCCTTTGTCTGGCAACTCTTCATATGCACACACTGGGAACAGGCTCCAACTGTTCGTCTGCCTCACTGACGTCTAACTCCGAAGGTAGATGATAACTGGCATATAGCTCTGGCTCCCTCTCTGGCTCCAAAACAGAGTCCTCATCAATGCCTTCACCAGACTCCAGAACTGGCCCGTTTTCCTCCCCAACCTCTTCTCTGTCTGAATCTGCTGCCAGCTCTGCTGGCAAGCCACAACATGCCCATCCCACAGATCATCCCATGGGATTTGACAATTGACACTGTCCAACTTTCCTAACTGCTTTATATTCTTTTCTTTTAAAAAAAAAGTTTTTTTAGTTAAGAAGACTGTCACATCTGGGTTTTGTTTTGTTTTTTAATTTCCAAGAATGCCTGTAGGCTTCATGTGCTGAGCTTCATTTAGAAACATCCAAGAAAAGCAACAGAAGAAAGATGGAGTGGTAGGAAGGAAGCTGAACAGGTTGTCTTTGAATATATGGGCATTTTCCACATCTATAAAATGTTACTATCTGTCTGGTCCCCAAAGTGGCAGTATCTGTTTTGTTGTATAAGTATACCAATGTAGATTACAATCTGTATTCATCCCCCTGCCCAAGGAATGAGTTTAATCTACAGATACTGACGGTTTGTCCTGTTGAAGTGGGAAGAGCTTGTCTCGAAAGTAGAGTGGATTCGGATGGCAGATGATCTGCAGATTCCTTGATGGTGACAACAAAAATCTTTTTAATGCTTCTAAGTCATATTATGAGACATTTTGAAATGTAGACCATACTCTGTGATTCATCATACCGTAGTTCTGAGGTGGATGTCACCTCAGGGCCTTTACTGGGCAGAAAAGATCCATAGATTGTGTCAGAGTATGCACAGTGTGACTACTATTTTGAGACAACCCAGGAGCAAAATACAGTACACAGAGGTTTTGTCTTTCAAANAATCTTGTAGGTGGGATGTGTGCCATCTATAGAACATCTTGTATAAGTTTTTCTCATACAAGGTGGCTAAAGTTAACTTTCTGTTTCTTCCATGGAATGCCATATTGTCCACTATCACGGTATGAAGTCTCTAAGCTACACATTAGCCCTGTTCAGGCATTGCAAAACTGAAGTACTCATCACACAAGCCTTTTCCTTGAGCTCTGCTGACATATATTCAAATGGCGTTGGGAATGGATGTTTACAGAAGGAAACCTTGCTTAAAATTGCAGATGTGCTGACTTCCTTGCAAATCGGCATCTTGAACAATTGGCATCCTTGTTCATTGCCAAAGCCAGTCCACTAATAGTTATGCTTGCAAAGGCTCCTGCAGACTGTTATCCTGAACAGTATCTGCTAGAGGGCAAGGCCTGTTGGGAGGGCTGACATAGTAGGAATTAACAATTTGAGTGTGCCCGAAGGCTAGATTTAAGCCTCCTTCCCCTCCTCTTGAAGTATCTCAGAACATGGGGCAAATGATGGTGTAGTGAAAGGTTCCTCATTCCTGGCAGTGTAGAGATTGCTCCCTCTTGAAAATTGGCCATTTAATGGAATGATTTATAATCCTAGGCCTAATTTTGGCCAGAAAGACTTCGGCCGTAAGGTCAGTCCTGGAAAGCAGGGTTTTAACTATGATCAAAGGGAGATATGAAAGGTCCTTGTAAATTCATTGTGTTAGCCTGTCTTCAAAATGGAGTGGATTCTCTAACTTCAGGGGAGAATAAAATTAAATGTTAGGGATCTTTTTAAATTATTGGAATGAAATCCCAAATGTCCTTGTTGGTGTGTAAATGACTTCATTTGGTAATCCTTGAGTTATGACGGTCACCTAGCATTACAACAACCCCCTTAAAAAAAGGTACCTATACCTATTCCATAATTTGAAGTTCTGACAACTGCCCCCCCACCTCCATGATCACTTAATTGCATTTTGGGTGCTCGGCAACCAGCTTGTATTTATGTGATTTACAATGCTTTGTGCCAGAAACCAGGGTTTGCTTAGTGACTGGCATTTGCTTAACAATTGCAGTGAATAACATAAAATTGAGTGTGATCATGTGACCTGCTTGGTGCTGTGCAACTGTAATTCTGGGCTGAATTACATTCAGAAGTTGCCGGCTACCCGTAATCTGCTTTACACTGTAATGAATCCCATGCTTATGGAATGGGGCAGGATGTAAATCCAAGAGGATGTCTTTTACTTGACCTTATAGCTGCAGATGGAGGCCCTTTTGTCTTTCTCTTTTGAGGAAAGATTTCTTTATAGTGTTTAAGGGCATCAAGCAAGAGGAAGAAAAGAGTGAAGGTTTATTGATGTATTGAGTAATTATTTTATTTTTGTGGAAGGTGTATAAAGGGTTCAGTTGCTCAGTCTCTTAATTTTTTTTAATGCATTTTTCCTTTCAGACGATCCCCTTCTACATCTTTTCTGAATCTTATGGGGGGAAAATGGCTGCTGCAATTGCTCTGGAAGTTCATAAGGTAAAGTTGATCTTTTCCTGTCAGAGAAAATGGATTCTCTCAAGCGAGCTTTGATTTCTTCTGCAAGATCCCGAGGGAAGAATATCTCTTAATAAATGAGGCATATAAAATCCTCCTCAAATCAAGGTTGATTCTTGATTAAGTGTTGATTGAGATTAAATTGTTTTGTTACTGCTTCTGGGATATATTCCTCACCTCCCAGTCTAGTCTATGTCCCTGGGCTTTCTGATGCTCTCCTTCCCAGCATTAACTAAATTTGACTGCCTTTGCTTTTTTCAGATCAGTCAAAACTGGCTAGGTGCTGTTACTTCTGATGTGAAATCTATGTGTGTTCCCATGCCAGGTGTGAAAGATCAGGTCTACAAGTGGTTCAATTAACTGATTTATTGCTATAGCCCAGTGATTCTCAACCTTTTCTTTTCCACTGAACCCCTTTAAATATAGTTTGTGGCCATGGCCCACCAAGACATAACTCAAGATTTAAATCATAACATTTCTTCAATTTTCTCCACTAAGAGCAGCTGCTTAGATTTAGATTAAGATGNCAACCCAGGAGCAAAATACAGTACACAGAGGTTTTGTCTTTCAAACAGTGGTTTATCTACAAGGCTTATATATATACATACATGTACTAGGCAAAACCAGGCAATCAATCAATCTTCAACTATAACACAAAGGCACATACAGAGAGAAAGATGGCCTCCCTTATATAGACAGCTTCTTAAAGTGGCAGTAATCCTGCTGACTCATTCTCATTTCATTTTCATCAGTTTACAGCCTTACATCAGCTGGTCAGCTATTAAATCATCATTACCTTAACAGTCTGCTTCATTCTCCTGTTGTCATTGTTGATGGAACACTTGGTGCTCAAAATCTAATCTGGGCCTTGCTGATTAACCCTGTTTGTGTAGTATCCTGCAAAACCCAGGGTATTCCCGGCACTGAAAGTAGCGTTGCTGTCTCTACTATCTCTCTGCTTTGAAAGAACCACAGTTGTACATGGAAATGTGGCAGAATTATTTGATGCGGTAGTGTAGAACAGGGATCTCCAACCTTGGCAACTTTAAGACTTGTGGACTTGAACTCCCAGAATTCTGGGAGTTGAAGTCCACAAGCTTTAAATGTTGCCAAGATTGGAGAACCCTGGTGTAGAAGGAAGAGATCCTTCTCCTGAAATTATCGCAATGGTAGGAGAATACCAAGTCCTCTTGTCTCTTAGCTTTATAAAGCATGGTAATTGCTTACTTTTTCCCCCCTTTTAGCTTTTTCAATAAAGGAACCTAAAGAAGCAAAACAAGCATGGGGGTATGTTCCTGTCAGAAGCAACGCAAGCATGTTCTGGTGGTTGTACTATGCAGACAGTCCCACTCAGAATTTCACACAACTTCCTCTTATCTTATGGCTGCAGGTAAGTTGGGGGTAAGGCTTTGGTGTGAGCTGTAATGGAAGGATGATAGCATCAGAAGTAGAGTTGAACCAGGGGTGAAATCCATCAAGTTCTGACAGATTCTGAAGAACCGGTAGTGGAAATTTTGAGTAGTTCAGAGAACCGGCAAATGCCACCTCTGGCTGGCTGGCCCCAGAGTGGATTGGGAATTGAGAATTTGCACTATCCTTCCCCTAGAAAGGGGAGGGAATGGAGATTATGCAGTATCCTTCCCCTGCCACGCCCACCAAGCCACACCCACAGAACCGGTAGTAAAAAAATTTGAACTTCACCACTGAGTTGAACCCTATAAAACCTTGCAATAGAAGATTTCTAAAACTTCTAAAAATTGGAAAAACGAGAAAATACCAACACAGGAGGAAATTATCCAAAAAATAATGGAATGTGCGGAAATGAGTAAATTGACATTTGGAATTAGAGAACAAAAAGTTGAACAATTTTATAATATTTGGGATTTGTTTTATTAATGGTTAGATTAAAAATCATGGTAACGGAAAATATTGAAGATTTTTTTGTATTTTAAGAATAATAGAATGATATATGCAATACTATAAGGGTTTAGCATTGTTAAACAGATTAGAATGACGTAATGGAATGATGTTGTATGCATGAATTCAATATTAAAATATTCTATTTAAAATTAAGGAATAATAATTATAGTTGAAAAATTGATATGTAACAATAAGATACTTATGTTTATCTATTGAACAATTTGTGATTTGATATATAACTATAAGTGGTTACCATGTAAAGGATGCACAGAATTTTGTAACCAAACGACACGCTATATGAAATGGCAGAAGGCTGTATATGTTTATGTTTTTATTTGTCTTTGTTTAAAAAATTTAAAAACTTAAAAAAATATTTCTAAAACCTCAAAGAAATCCTTCAGAGGGGAAAAGTAATGTTTAAATGGAGATTCAATCCTACAACATCAACTGATTGCATTTGGGAGGCGAGGAAGGGGGGTTGTCATTGTTAATTCCTGGTGACTGCCTGGAAACGTCCTGCAGTTTTTTGGCAAGATATCAGAAGCAGTTTGTCCTTGCTTCCTAGGGCTGAGAAGATGGGACTGGCCCAAGATAACTCAGGTAGCCGCATGCCTAAAGCGGAACTAGAATTGTCAGTTTCTGGGTTTTTAGTCAATGCCTTGATCACTACACCAAACTAGCTCTCATTGCATATTAATTATATTTTATTGCCTGTAATTATTCTAAATCAAGCTATTAAAAGCAGGTGAAAAAAAGCAGGTGTATCACACAAAGCTGTAGTGTAAATTATTTGGATTTCTAAGTTGCTTGGAGTGTTTTATGAGCCATTGCTTTTGAAATATAATTCACAAAATAAGCCAGGCTACTTGCAAACAATGATAACTTCGAACACTAAGCCAAAAATGAGGAGGCCATATTGTGCTAAGCTTCTTCGGAGCTCTATCCTACATATTATACATAGCATGTTAAGCTACTTAGAGTATGAAACTTGTCACTCCTTACTAATATTTCCCTTTTCTCAAACTATGGAAGCTTTTTAAAGATTCAAAGCAGTGATCACTGGCTAAATATAATGGAGGATGAGCAGCAAGTCAAGAATTGGGAACAGTAATGCAAATTGTAAGGGCAAACATTAAATGATGGCATAACATAAATGAGCTATAGAATTTCATTGTGGCATTCCTATGTCTACGCAGGTACCGTATTTTTCAGAGTATGAGACGCACCGTTTTCCCCCCAAAAAAGAGGGTGAAAATCTGGGTGTGTCTTATACATTGAGTACAGCATTTTGCCCCCCCCCCAACCCCTCCTTCTTCACAAAAATGGATGTGCAGAGGGTTTGGGAGGCCTGCAAAGTGCTCCTGGGGGCTGGGGAGGGCAAAAACTCAAAAATGGGCCATTTTTTGCTCGTTTCCCCCAGCCCCCAGGAGCACTTTGCAGGCCTCTCAAACTCTCTGCATGCCCCATTTTTCAGAAAAAATGAGGCCTGCAGAGTCCAAAAACTTTTAAAAAAAAATTACCTCTTCAAAATCTTGGTGCGTCTTATACTCTGGTGTGTCTTATACTCCGAAAAATATGGTAACTTTCAACTTGCAACCATTCATATTTAGTGACTGTTTGAAATTACAACAGCACTGAAAAAAGTGATTTATGACTGTTTTTTACACTTATGACTGTCGCAGCATCCCCATGTTCATGTGATCAAAATTTGAACCCTTGGCAATTGGCCTGTATTTATGACAGTTGCAGTGTCCCGGGGTCATGTGATCATCTTTTGGGACCTTCTGACAAGCAGAGTCAATGGGGAAACCAGAGTCGCTTAACAGCTGTGATACTAACTTAACAACGGTAGTAATTCATTCATTTGACAACCATGGCAAGAAAGATCGTAAAATGGGGCCAAACTGATTTAACCACTGTCTTGCTTAGCAACAGAGATTTTGGATTCAATTGTGGTCATAAGTCAAAGACTACATGTAACAAGTAGGGATTGAGTTTAGATGGGAAAATTCAGAAATTCTGACTGCTAGGCATCACTTAAAGGCCTTTATTTTCTGTCCCATGTGGACTAACATAGCAATCGGAAGCTGTTCCTAAGAAAAAGATCTACAGGATTCTGTTTGTAGATTTGCATTAACAGCCTTGGAATGAAACCATTATGTTCATGACACATCCTTTTTTGGGGAGATAAATGAAAATAAGACAGCAAGAAAAAAGGTTGACGTTTTTCTCTTCATTTCTCATCTCTGTGTTTCCATAGGGAGGCCCAGGAGCTTCAGGTTGCGGATATGGAAATTTTGAAGAGATTGGCCCTTTAGATGCTGATCTAAAAGCAAGAAAGACAACTTGGGTAAGCTGTCTTAACTTATAGTGGGAAGACTGGGCATCTTCTGACAGGCCATGTTAAAAAAAATGCTTTTTGCAATATATTGATTTTTGTTTGAGATGCAGACTTTGAGATCTTTCTTGCTCATTTTCCTGTAGGAATCCATACACCCCTGACGGCAAACCTATGACACGCATGCCAGAGCTGGCACGCAGAGCCCTTTCTGTGGGCACATGAGCTGCTCTTCTGGTTTCCAGTGTGCTGGTCTTCGCGAGCGCTGGAAAATGCCGCCCAAAATGTACCGAAAAATGGCCAAAAACAGGCATGCGCATGCCACCCAGCTGGTCTTCGTGTTTCCGATGCTCTGGCGTGCGCGAAGTCCAGCTGGCCGGCACACATGTGTGTGCTGGAAATCCGAAGACCAGCTGGCTGGCATGTGCACCAGCCAAGCTGGTCTTCGGGTTTCTGGCATGCATATGCACACGTGTTCCAGTGTAGTTTGGGCACGCGGTGCCGAAAACGTTCGCCATAACTGCCATATACAGTATGCTTCTGAAGTTGTCAGTTATTTAAACTGCTCTTATTCCTACACCTCATCCAGCAGCCTAATACAGACATGTCAAACTCACAATGACACATTGTCGTCACGTGACATATTGCAGCTTTCCCCCACTTCGCTAAAACAGGTGTGTGTGTGTCCAGCATGTGATGCATCCGGGCCGCGAGTTTGACACCCCTGGCCTAATAGATTACTTGTCTTTATGCCAGGAGATTTTTATTTGCTCTATTTTTCTGTATTGTCCTTGTGTTAAACAAACCAAGTAAGACTTTAGATCTTACTTTGGATTTATATTTAAAAAAATGAATTTTACCAGTACTTGTAAGACTGCTCTTCCACTTCCACAGGCAAAAACGTGTATATTAAAAATATAGATTACAAGCATGTATATGCATATGTACACAACAACATTCACGTAAATGCACAGACAGATAAATAATGATAATTTATAAAACCTTAAAAGAATGAACTTAAAATTGGGGAAATGCTGGGAAAGATTGAGGGCAAAAGAAGAAGGGGACAACAGAGAATGAGGTGGCTGGATGGAATCACTGAAGCAGTCGGCGTGAGTTTAAATGGACTCCAGAGGATGGTAGAGGACAGGAAGACCTGGAGGAATGTTGTCCATGGGGTCGCGATGGGTTGGACACGACTTCGCAACTAACAACAACAACAAATTGTTTTGAACCACAAACTCTGGAAGGTTTGATTCTGTTGCGAGTATTAACAACTGAAATTAAGAGATTTCTATGGCTGAGGTTGCCTATGAATGAGACATATTTAATAAATGCCTCTAGGCTTAAAATATAGCAATAATAAGTAGTGCGCTGCCCTTTCAATGCAAAACACGCTCTCTCATCTTGCCTTTGTGGGAATCTTTGGAAGACTCCTCCTTTGTCATCCCTTTTAAGTATGATGCTCTCCCTCTGTGTATGTTGCTGATGTCAGTGTTTTCTTTGGGTGGTGTAGCTGCAGGCAGCAAGTCTTCTCTTTGTTGACAATCCTGTTGGCACTGGATACAGTTACGTTAATGACTCCCTTGCCTACGCCACTGATCTCAGCATGGTCGCTTCGGATATGATGGTGGTTCTCCGAGAGTTCTTTAAATCAAAGGTGGAATTCCAGGCAAGTACAATAGGATCAGCCCATGGAATGCTATATTTTTTTTAATTAAAAGTTTTTTATTAG